TCTAGCAAAGGGCCGGGCCCTGACATGTTCTTCGCCCTCCAGACTGATCCCTCTGTGGTTGGGGATCTCTCTTCCGTCCAGCCTCTGTCTTCCAATAACCACCAGGCCCAGACAGGGCCCCTCTGCCCAGAGACCAGTACAGAGATCCCCCCTTTCTCCTTCATGCGTTCTCTGCCCTTTGTGATCTCTAATGGAGCTGCTGACTCAGCATTTCCACTGGCTCCTCCTCCTCCCAGCCAAAGCATAGTCCCCGATGTGATGCCCTCGTCTGGGACCGTGATGATGCCCCTAGTGCCTCCAGTTCTTCTAGGCCCTGGGATTGTAGGAGACCCAGAGAAGAGGGACGTGCTCCCAACCTTTGGGATAGCCCCGATTGGCCTCCACCCTCCTTCAGCTTGTCCTGCTGTGCAACCTCTGGTCCAGAGGTTCAAAACAGCTATGTCTCAGAGCCACGGTGCCACGGATGGAGCTACAGGGAGTGGTTCTAGTGCCCCACCTGCTTCACACCAGGCTCCTATAAGAGCCATCAGAGTCATGTCTCCTGGCCCGACATCCTTTGCCTCGCCTCTGCAGCAGCCTCTGCCCTGCCAAGACCCGGGTGTCAGCCCGGGCCTGGCCTCCACCCTGACACACGTGGAGACTTCACATGCCAAGCTCCCCGGCTTAACCTTACCATCTGGCCTGCCTTCTCCCTACACCCTGCCCCCTGTCCCCACCTCTGCCATGCCTACTGCAGCCCCTGGAATAGCTCCATCCTCTGGACAGGTACAAGCAGCTGTCCCTCCAGCTGTGCCCACCCACACCCCTGGGCCCGCTCTGAGCCCCAGCCCAGCGCTGACTCACAGCACAGCACACAGCGACTGTACATCCTACAGCAACAACAGTGCTTCCTGTGGGAGTGCCTCTGTTACCCCTGGAAACCCCATTACTCTTCAGCAAACCCAGCAGCTACACTTGCCCCCGCAGCAACTAACCCCACCTCAACAACAGCAACAGCAGCACCAGCAGCACCAACAACAACAGCAGCACCACCAACAACAACAACAACAGCAGCACCAACAACAGCAGCAGCAGCAGCAGCACCAACAACAGCACCAACAACAGCAACAACAACAACAACAGCAGCAGCAACAACAGCATGCAATAGGCTGTGGGACCTGTGGTTGTCACAACAACTGCGGTAGCAGAGGCAGCCTCAGTAACAACAACAGTGTCACTATGCCCCCTGGTTGCCAAGCTCCCTTATTCTTCCCCCACCAGATGGCGGCAGCACGACAGGTGTTCAGCGTCCCATCGCCTGTCTTTCAGCTCACAAGCCTGTGCAGCAACAGTTACCTCACCCAGGCCCAGTCCCCCCACCAAGCCAATGGTGGCACCCCCCTGCCCCCCTTCTTCCCCACCGCCCCACCACCCGCACACCCGTCCCCATATGGTCCCATGCACACTCACTCCCACAGCCATGCAGACGTGCCATCACACATGCTGGGCACCGCCGCAGCTGCAAACTACAACCTCCAACAGCAGATGGCGCCAGCGGCTTCTTTCTTCCAGCGCTTATACCAGCACGTGTACCCAAATCCCCTGGGGATGCTGCCTGCTGCAGCACTGGGCGGAGGTGGAGTCAATAAGAAAAGCGGCAGTGTGTCCTGCTATAACTGTGGTGTGAGTGGCCACTATGCTCAGGACTGCAACCAGCCCTCCATAGACTCCACACAGCAAGGTAGTGCAGCTACACGGAACAGGGAGAAACAGAGAACCCCTTAGTTTTCTTCCCCAGAACCCCAGCACTACAACATGACTAAATTAGGGCTCATCCTCAGAAAGTATATTTTCAGCTGATTCATTTCAGTTCTGATGGGTTACCTTATTGGCCAGAAGAGAAGCTGTGCCAATGGAACATTCATAATAACAGCACTTAAATGCTTAAAAATACTTATGTGGGTTATCTACAGGGCCAACTGTAATGAGGTACGTTAGGAAACAGAGTGTTGGTACCTGGAATCACTGCCAGAAAATGATATAATTGCAAAGAGCAGACACCCAACCACCTTTTGTCCCCGATAGCTTATTAGAGATAAGAAAAAAGTCGACAGTTATACATTAGCGGGTTCGCATTGATAAGTTTCAGGAAAATGCAGTGGGCTGCACTTTTATTTTCTTTTATTTTTCTCTTGAAAAAAAGAAAGTATACTGTATGAAAACACTTCTGATATTCACACATTTCACATTTGGTTTTGTTGCCTTATTTTGGTTTGCCAAACCTTAATGGGCTAAATACTGAACCCTGAGGAACCCCCAATGTAAATGTTTTGACTCTCATCAGCCACAAGTTGCAGCAATGCTTGAAAACAACCTTGGACTAGTATTACAAAGGTGGACTATCTGCACAGCAACCTTTAGATTTTGCTTTGGGAAGCATGACTCATGTCACACTCCCAGTGTTAGTGCTAGGGATGGGTACCAAAACCCGGTTTTAAGCGGGCCCCAGGGCAACATTTTGAAAGACGTTATCTTGCACATCTTATTCAACCAACTCCGTTTCTAATTTGCAATACCCTTATTTTCGCTCTCTTCACTCCATAAGAGCAATCTCTCTCATCTGTGTACAAGGGCGGAGCAGCTCTCTCACGCTGCAGTGCCGTACACTAACACATAGATCTGCCGGGGACGGAACAAAACGTTTAAAATTACACTTTACAAGGCTCTATGTAGACAATGGCAAAAGTGTTTATTTTGCGGAAACACAAGCAATCTGTCCTAACATGTGATTTTTACTCCAGGTGTAACTTGAGTCTTATTTAAGGGTTGAATATATTTCACATTATTAATCAAAATGTGCAAAGTAACTAAAGATATTAAGGAAATGTGGTGAAAAAGTACACGATTAACCTCTGAATTATAGAGTCTGTATAAGGTAGCACAAAATGTAAATACTTAAGTACAATACTGAGATAATTCTAATTTACTTAAGTACAGGACTTGATTTTATTTTATTTGCATTTCCATCATTACACAAGTCTGTAATTTTATTTACAAAAAAATATATATTGTATGTAAAATAAAGCAATGTTATTTCTGGTTAAAAAAAAAAAAAAAGTTTTCCCCCTTAAAGAAATAAAAAGAACCGATAAAAACACAGTAGAAATACCGGATCGATAAGCAGTATCGGTAATAGTAGTAGTACCGTTAAAATCTGAACGATACCCATCCCTAGTTAGTGCTTAACTAACTGAAAACATGAATAGTAGAACATGATGTTCTTTGAAAAGACAGTTTGATCATAGTTTAAGTTGATTTATATTAGGTTTAATTTTTTATTTGTAACCGTCCACTGATTGTATACCCTCTGTGTGTTTGGATGCATCTCTGTATGTGTGCATGTGGTTGTTTGTGTGTTTGTGGTGACATTGCAGGTGGCTTCCGGTTAAAGTATGCGGCCTCCCACATTTCAGAAGCACTTGACAATGCCGACTGAAGGGAAAGGATAATGAAGAGTTCCTCTGGTCTCGTGTCCACAGTGACGGCTGCTGTTCTTCCCCAAGCACTGTGTGAGCAGCACTGAAGCCTCTCGAACGTTAGGAAAGAAAACACCATTTAGAACAGAAGGTGACCTGCCAAGGGCTCAGCGGACAAAGCCTAAGTACTTGTGCCTGGGAAAATCTTGTTCCCATAGAGATGATCACTGTCTCGTGCAAAGTAACGGTCCCTTCCCTTTTACGTTTTTTAATCTTTTTTGCACTGATGGTTGGAAACAATTAACTTATTACTTAATTTCTAGGAAGATATCTTTGTTTGTTTTTACATTCAAGTGGAGACTTGTCTCAACTGAAGAAAAGTTGTTATACACTTAATTCTAAAAAGTCACGCTTTTCCTCATTATTACTGTTAATCTAGGATTTTATTGTTCGGACAGAATTGTACAGCATTGTTAAAAAATAATTAAATCAAAAAATAATTTTAGCAAAAAGGATTTTATGTTTCATTTTCAACTTTGCTGTTTCTGAATGTACACATTTTTTAAGGACTGCCTGTCAGTGTATGGATCTCATGCATTTGTTGCCACTTGATCTGTTGTGGTTAGAAGGTAACAGCTGCTTTGTAATGTTGTCTTATTCATTAAACTTGTTTTACTTGGTGAAATGCACTAATGCAGCGCAGGAACACAAGTGCACTAAAAAAGTCGGCACCACAACCAAGCAGATTTTAGAATCTATACATTTTCACAATCTGAATTTAAAGGAAATTACAAAGAGTCTGCTTTGTTTTAGTGGAATTTTGTATTTAAGGTGTGAAGCATTTATTTATGGCTAATATTTTAAAGAGAGGGCAATCTTTCTCAGTTTCCTTAATACTAAATACAACAGAGAAGAGGATCATTCTTCTCTGATCCAGTTGAGTAAAGACGTCTTTGCAAGTGGTTAGCATATACCTGTACTTTCTTCTTTTATAGTGTCGGGTCTCTGGTGTTCTCTAGACTCTAGGATTTGGACTGATTACATTGTTTAAATGTAGGACAAATGAGAACATAAACGTCAACTGTTTATTTTGTTCAGTCTTCAGAGTGCAATTCTGCAGACGGTGAAACCATTGTCAAACTATTCATTAATAATGGGTAGACAGACACAAATTAAAACTCTAATTATAGACTAAGAAATGTATGCTTTTATATAGAGAAATAACAAGCACTACTTTCCTGCCCTGTTGGTAACCTATTACAATTGTTGTGTATTTGTATGACAGATTGCATCTTTAAGAGATAATGGTACACAGCTAGTTCCATTCTAAGCCTACTAAGAGCGGAATGTAATGGTTTATTGTAGCTAAAACTGAGGGGGGCGATACCTGACGTTTTCTATATATCTTTTAACTAATCAAACTATCTGTATACCTTTTACACAAAACTGTTGTCAACTAACCTACAACATCAGACAAACCTGATGGCATTTGGCAACTGAAAACGGAAGTCACCAAAACCACCTTTACTGTAATGCCTAATTTGGTTTGAAGCTCTTTAACCCTTTAAGCTCTTTGAAGGTTATTTGAAAAGTGTTTGGGAAACATTTTAATAATAAATAGAGGCAGGATGTAAGAATATGGAGCTCCTATGTGCACAGTAGTAAACAATAAATGAAACAGCTGTTGAAATACTTTAATACGTTTTATAATTTTTTTTTACTTGAATCTTTTGCTTTAAAATGTCCTCTTTCATAACAGCCGACCTGTCCCGCCTTCCAACTTTTCAGCCAATCACATGCCTCCCTGCCTCTTAAGCTAGCAAGATCAACAACTTCTGCCAGATGTAGCTAGTTAGCACCTGTTAGCTAGGGCAAAGAAAAGTGACATGAAAACAATCTAAGTTTGAAAATAAAAGGCCATTAATTTTATAACTAGATGGTTTATATATTTTACATGGTTAATTCGTGTTATTTTTGTCATAATGTATTTTTTATGTATTTAATATTGAACACTTCCATATGAGAACGTGTGCAAGGAGGTAACCGTTAACAAAAATAACTTAAACCTGGACTGTTAATGGTGTTTGTACATTATGAGCATCTGTTTATAGGCCTGTCTAAAGACAATTGAAATATATTTTACCGAAGGATGCTAGTTCTTCTCAGTTCCTCGAGATTAATGTGGTATGTAATGCTTCCCCCATCAATGTTGTTTCTGATTGTGCAACTTTCTGCCCTTAAGGTGTTTTCAGGGCTTGTTTTTGTCTGCCATCCCTGTTTCACCTACTGTCAGTGCATTAGTTAAATTGAAGTCTATGCATATTGTTTTCATGAATACTAAAAAAGTGACTTTTAGGAAAAACCAGAGGTGGATTCAGAGATATTTTATGTCCATTTTTAAAGGATGCACACCCTCAAACTGACTGCTGTGAGATCCGATTGTCTTCAGTTCCACTTTGAACATTACTTGTGTCCAAAACTGCTTCCCTGCTCTTCAGTGGATGTTTTAAGCGGATCAGATCCTGCAGAGTTCTGGATCCAGTGATCAGAAATTAGAGGGGTCCAGTGTAAATACTGAGGAGGCCCCTAACAACCCGAGTGTAGTTGTGTTGATGGTTTGCAAAATGCTGTACTGTGTTTGCAAGGGGTCCCTGTGCTGCCCACCTCAGTTGTAATGTTTACTGTACTCTTTGATATCTATGTACTTGAAAGGTCAAACATATTTCTAAAGTGGAATTTGGATTTTATGCAAATTGTTTTTCTGTAATTAAAAGCAATAAATATAGAAAATGGGAAGTACATTTTTTTCTGACTTGAGTGTTTTCTTTTGTCAAAACATCTTTATTCAAATATTCAGAGAACTTTGAAGATAGAATGACAGAAACCCACAATATTGACATGGAATGCTCAAAAATCTGCTTTACATTTAAATAGAAAAATACTACATATTTAAAACGTTCACTACATTGACATATTAGTGTATTTGAGAACAGTAAGCAGCTACAGTTTTACGGACAAAACAATCCATCACAAACTTGATATAATGAACATGTTGAACTAGCAAAACAATAGTTTTTTATAGCGTGCTGCTGAAACATTTTGAAGTATCAATGCTTTCTTAAGAGAAAACTGCATCACTTTTAAATTATTCTATGTGCTGACCACTTTATGGTGACATTGACTAAAATGCCTTTTTATGTGTGTGTGTGTTTAACTCCTGTTGTTCTGCAGGGAGTCGATGAGACTCTTGTTGTACTCTGCCACTTGTTGGGAGACATTCTTGGCGACCGACGCATAGTCACTCTCCTGAGATTTCGAGGCGATGACTGATGCTTCAGTTAAGGAAAGATCCCTGATGTATCCAATGAGTGGCTTTTACGGGATCAAATGTTTCATAGAAGGGTTCAGTGGGAGACAAATCATTCAGCAATAAGGAGAAAAATACATAATTCAGAAGGATACACTCTTTCATCACAAAGTTGTTCTGCTCCAAGTGTTGCCATTTCCTCTCAAGGTTAGCCAGCTAAATCACAAAGAACACACACAGAAAATTAGCATGAGGAGAATAATACGGGTCTATAACAGCATCTAATGGTTGTATGTGTAGAGTAGTGATTTATACATATTTAAGAATGCTGATATAGTGATGTGTTTTCTGATAAGTGTAAAATGCTCTGACCTGAGCGTGAGTCTCGTTTTCTTGCAGTTTGGTCTTCAGAGCTTCATATTTCTGATTCATTTCCTCCAGCAGCTGTTTGAATGAATCCCGACGCTGAGTAAGTGACACACGCTCCTCTTGTAGCCTCTGCACCAGAATGACACAAAGGTTAGCCTACAGTTTGATTATCTTTAGCCAGATAAAAACTGATATTTTAGAGTAATGGGGCTGATATTCGTGATGCTGCCATCTTTCTCATTTCTGAGTCTCTTTTCACCTTCTTCTTCTCCTCCCCTGTGTGCCTCAGGGTGTCCAGGTCTCTGTAGGTGAGCAGCTCCGTCTCCATGGTGCCGACGCGCTCCTTCAGGGAGCTGAGCTCCCCGCTGATCTTCCCCTCCAGCTGCTGCACCTTCTCCAGGTCCTGCTGCAGCCGCTGGGATTCTGGGTGGAGGTTAGCATGTTAGCATTCACCTGTTGTTTTTAAGGTTTATCAAATCATCCCAATTTGGGAAATTATTTCGTCATAGAAGCAGAAGTGTGTTCAGACTTTATAATACAATACAATACTTTAAATACTTTAAAAAGTGGAAAAGATCATTACCAATTCAAAATAAAAGGAAAACATATGATATCAAATATAAACAAAACAATATAGAATATTCTGGATAATTGAAATAAAAAGTCAAAAATACAACAGGATCCAAAATACTACAGGTCTTTTATAAGAAAGGAGAAACTCAAACTATGTAGCAGTGTGTGTGTGTGTGTGTCTGTGTGTGTGTGTGTGTGTGTCTGTGTGTCTGTGTGTGTGTGTGTGTGTGTGTGTGTGTGTGTGTGTGTGTGTTACTGACCTGTTGTCAGTCCTCTGGCGGTGCTCTCTGATTGGACCACCTCCGTCTCCTTGCTGACCAGCACCTCCTGCATGTTCCTCAGCTCACTGGCTGTCACTGTGTCCACCTGATGTAGCCTTAACATGTTCTACATAAACACACACACACACATTTACTGTTTTCTACCACATGTTCTTTTACCCCCTGAAATGTATTTACTATTCTGGCTATTTACTGCATCCTTTACTTTCCTTTATTTACTAATCCATTTTTGCATATTTTTATGTATGCTTCCTAATTAATACTAAGATATCTTTGGCTCTTAACTTGCTGTAACAAATGTAAATGTCCATTCTGTTGGGCTAACAAATGTGTTCTGATTCCCCCCCCCCCCCCCCCCTCCCTCACCCTGCTGCAGTGTTCCAGGATGGAGACGATGTTCTCTTGGCTCTGGGTCATCTTGTCCTGCTCCTGAGCCCTGACCTCCTCAAAAGACTCCATGTACCCTGGAACAAAGGAGGAAAGGAGGAAATAAAGGAAGTTATTACTATCAGCTGTATTTCATTATATTTAAACCTACAGTAGTATATCTCTCAAGCTAAATTAAAAAGAAAAACATTTAGCCTTTGGCGACTCCTGGTGGTAGTTTTCAAAAAGGCATTCAAAATGTCTGCCTCAAAGTTAAACCATTTTTAAAACATGCAAAGAGTTACATTCATGGCAATATTTTAACCCTAACCCTAAATAAGAGTTCAATATACAATAACTAAATGACCACTCAAGTCTATTCACTTTCAGTAATTCCAGTTGTCACTCACGGTCAATGTCCTCATCCCTCCTCTTCAGCTCCCTGTATTTCTGCTGACACTCCCCTTATGGACAGATGAAAAATATAAACTATTAGTTTAGCAGGCAATTACATTCATTATAATCATTCAATGCATACTTTGTCTAGTTCTGTTAAGTACGTTGTGTGAGTGTGCTTATATGTCCAAGTAAAGGCATTTAAATCATTAAGTTGTCCAAGACCAAGCAATACTTTTGAAAAAGGGACACCTGTTTTTAAATAGTTAAATGTAAGTTTTAAACGCAAAAAAAGGATAATTGAATATATTAATTTAGGAATCTCTGTCAGACAATAAATACTTCAGACATGTCAACTATGGCTTTTCCCTATGTCATAATAGGAATTGATATAGTTGAAATCCCTATCACAAACTATGACATAGAAAATAAATAAATTAGGAAAATAATTAGTAGATGAATTCCATGGAAATAATGATCAGCCCTTGACATATAGCAACAAAGAAATGTCTCTAACATTGTTTATAGTGTATAACATTGTTTCTTTAATAAGATGTGAAACTTTTGAGGCAGTGTACAACATTTCGATAGAGAGATGAAAAGTGTAATCTGCCACACGGTGTTACCCTGCGCCTCCTCTGAGTCCTGCTCCAGCTGTCGGATCTGCTCTGTGATCTGTTCCATCCTCTCCCTGATCTCTGTAAGCCTGAACACACACATCATCACACACATCAGAACACATCAGAACACACACATCATCACACATCAGAACACATCAGAACACACACATCATTACATATCAGAACACTCAGATCAGTACACATCAGAACACAGAGGAACATGGGTTTCCTTTTCAGAAGCAAATACTTGAGAGGGCCAGGGTCACAGAGCCAGTAAGAACATATGTAAGCTATCAGACAAATAAAACACTATTGAAGGGATGATTAACTTTCAAATCTTCAATATAATAAAACCATTTGAACCCTTAAACATGTTTTGATAACTTCAGGCAAAGTATGCTGTTGTTATGAAATGTAAATTAATCCAAAAAAAGAAAAAAAAGAAGTTTAACCCTGACACAGACTCAGGGTTTTCTTTGTGTTACATACTGTCTGTCCATGCTGGCGATTTCCTGGTTGTCCTCCTTCACCTAGAAAATAAAACAGAACTTAAATCACTTTATTACTAACTCAACTCCTTAATATATGAAATTCAACAGCCCTTTGAGATAATGCAGTCAGTGGGGTGCACTGATTCTATGAAACAAGTCTCTAACAGCTTCTATTGTCTGGATGAAATACTGAATCTGATACTATAGGTTAATCCACTCAATTTGTACTGAGGTTGATTTTATCTTAATTGAAACTGCATCTTAAAACCACATCAAAGTGGAGTAAGAGATGTTATCGAGTCCTATAAAAGCAATGATGCAGCACAGGGGTGTCCAAACTACGGCCCGGGGGCCAAATGCGGCCCATTTTGAATTGGCCCTCATCAAATTCAAAAAGTATAATGACTTAAGAATAATACACTTCTGTTCATCCTATATTGTACTTCTTAAATATATATTCAAATACATTACACAGTTTTCATAAGCCCAATTTTCAAATAAATTCAGTCAATTAAAGTTGAAAACATGTTCAAGTTGATAAGAAAAAAGACAAATAACACATTTATATACCAACCTTCAAATATACCCTTCATTGTAAGCAATCTGAAGCTTCTGTTTTAAGGAATGAGCTGCTAACAAAATAAATAAAACCCTATGTGATGTAGGCTGTTTTTTTCTTAAGGCATGTTCAAGTATCAAGAATAATTGACCTACATTGGTTTGATATTTCCAACTTATAACTGAACTTATGAGGCAATATACCTCACCTCTAGTGAGTGGCCCAGCCCTTCGTATATTTTTCTGTATGTGGCCCTCGGTGAAGAAAGTCTGGACACCCCTGATGTAGCATTATCTGTAGTCTAAAAGGTCCACTCCTTGTCTCTGTCTGGATGTGAAGCGTACCTGTTTCAGCAGTGTCTCTCTCTCGTCCTGGGGGGAGCTCTTGTGCTCCGCCTCCATGGCCTCACGCTTCCCCTGCAGAGCCAACAGAGTCTCGTGGAGCCGAACCACTTCCTGCTTTATGTGCGAGTGGGACAGCTCCTGCACACGGGACAAAGTCAGATGAAACTCTTTTGTACTACTCCTTCTGCTAATACTGATGTCACTGTAATGCATTTAATTGACATATTTTCATTCCTTATTCTGAATGTCCTTCCTCCCCAGGGGATCTGCATGTCTTGAAAAGTCTTAAAACATTGCTTTATGTATGTGTATTATGTATGTGAATGTATAATGTATGTGTATTATGTATGTGATTGTGAACCCTAAAGAAACCCTCCCTCAATCTTTCAGTCTTTGTTGACCAACTCACAGCGTCGTAGTCCTCCTTCCTGGTTATCAGAAGGTCCAGCTCCTCCTGGAGAACAGTCAGCTCCTACAGGACAAAACACAAGGGGAAAAGAAAGAAAGCAGGAAGTAAAAGGACCTTTATTTTACAAAGGGTTAACAAAGTCATAAAAAAAAACCCACGAAGCACTTGTTGAGTTAATTTAAGCCTTGTAACTGATTCACCAGCACTAACTATGGTATGATCCTTGCTGTTCGCAGTTTGATTCTTTATGGTTTTTGCACTTACTGTAAGTTGCTTTGGATAAAAACATCAGCTAAATGATATGTAATGTATCGTAAAACAGTTTAAGTGATATTAATCAATGACCACTTCATTACCATTGAAACATTAAACTCCTTAATAGCAATGTTACTACTAACGATCAGTATACTTTTTTTAAATGCCTACACTTCAAAGAGGAATGTATCCAATGTTCATATATATTCACCGACTTTATGAAATGATCATTAAATGGGAAATGTAAGTGTATCTTAAAAATAATCAATCGTACTACATCCTAAATAAACAGAATGCCAGAGTGAATAAAATCACACTGGCATTCTGAGTTTAATACGACAATTATACCTAAGCAGTATAATAACAATATATTGATAAAACGACATGAGTACCTGTAGCAGTTCCTCATTGGCTGTTGTCATGGTGAAGTACCGCTCCTGCTTGCCGGCTGGCATCGCCTGGACGACCTCCTCGGCGACCCTCCTCTCCCCCCTGATCTCCTCTTCTATCGCCCTGATGGCCTCCTCTCTTCTGCAGAGCAAACAGAAGAAGAGTTTTTATATTTGTTCATATTGTTTTCAAATGTTTACTTTGCCTTCATCAGTCATTATCACGGGGATGGAGACATGTGACAAAGACCCTAGCTCTCAAACTCAGATAAGATGGGACAGATATCCATAGATAGATACGGTGTAGATAAGGGAAGGACAGGGGGAAGTAGAATGGAGAGATGTCACTCCTGCTCACAGCGTTTGAAGAGTCTTTAGGAGGCTGTGGCTCAGTGGGTAGTGTGCTGGACTTCGAATCAGGGGATAGGAAGTTCGAGTCCCACTGCAGTCAGCATGTCGTTGTGTCCCTGGGCAAGACACTTCACCCCAAATTGCCTCCTGTGGGGATTGTCCACAGTACTGAATGTATGTAAGTAGCTTTGGATGAAAAGCGTTTAACAAATGACATGTAATGTAATGTCAGATGGACTGGGTAAATGTAGAGTATTTGCTTCCTTAATGCAGTCCTGCTTCTTCTCCTTCATCTCTTTGTCCCATTGTCTTATCTTTAAATCCCATTTGGCGCTTCCCTTCCTTTAAGACACTCAAGGTTCAAGGCTTTTATTAGTCATATGTACAGCTAGTGTAGTTATGACGATGAAAATCTTAGGTCACACTCCTACCTTATTTTCATCCATTTTCTTTTTTTTCTGACATGATTCTTTACATCCGTCTGTCTCCCTTCCTACTTTCTATTCTTGCATTCACTCTTTCGCCAAGACTATAAATGTAATTTAAAAACCACTTAGATACCATTAAAACGTTTTAATATCTTTTGGAATACAGTTTAAAATGGGATATACAATATCTCTAAAAATGCTTAAATATACTTTTAAGCAAAGTAGGAACGAGACGTGGAAAGGAGAACTGATAGGATCATATCTAATGGTTCAGCTGGCATTAACAGTGCATGTGAGCTAACAGTTTTACAACCAGGAACAAAGGTTGATCATTGTGCAGGTTTCCTCACGCTGACAGATGAGTTTAAGTTCACTGAAGAGTCCCTAGAAGTACAGGTAAGTGCTTATGGTTGTTATTACTATATTAGTAATGTAGAATCGTGACTAAATACATTTAAAATGTGGGATAAAACACATTTAATACACACAACAGTAAGGATTCTGACGGATGTTTTACTGTATGCTGGTCAAAGGTTATTCAGCTGACACCGGTAAAAGGTGTGTGATGTCCTCTCAGTCACCCAGTTTCTGAGAGGTCAGGTGAGTGCCCAGAGGATCGTATCTTCTACAAGTTAACAGATTAATATAATTTAAGGATTTCAAATGTAAATGTCTATTTTACATGGATGTATTAAAAGAGCACTTTGACATGAGGTGATAGTTGTATCATGAAAGCGGTTTCATTTTTCCCTTTGCAGCTATGCATGCTGTTCTTTCTTTAACCTGTTTAAAGAAATAACTGTTGTGTCTATGGTCTGCCAATTTACCTGACTAAGATCTATGAACGTATTCTTTTTTGCTTGTTTTGAGTTGTGAATATTTTTGTATCATCTGAATTATTCTATCTGCTTTTATTATAATTATCTGAGTGAATTGGTTAGAATGAATAGATTACAAGCTATGGGTCAGAGCTAAAAAAAACACTGGTCACGGATATATAGACGTGTGACGATCATAAGATTTTCATTGCCATTTCTACACTGTAGCTTATGTGCATATGACAATAAATCATTTGAGTCTTTGAATTAAAGTAGAAAAAAAAGGCGACTGATCTTCTCAGCCTCCAAGTTTAAACAAACTCTTATCCATATCAAACCGGATTAACCACAGTCCTTTCTGTTTTTCAGACTAGGATAATGGAGGTGTGTTGGCAACCTCTTCTCCTGCTGTTCTTCACTGCAGCGGTAACCGTGAATATACTGGGAAGTAATGCTGAGGTTGTGGAAGAAAACACGCTGGTAGAAAATCCTAATTTTCTTTGATTAAGCTGGCACTGCTGAGTGAAAGTCATGATGGTTTATCTGTATGTGTTTACACAGATTGTTTATGTGTTATAATAACTCCATCCATCTATCAGCAGGTAAAGAACTTGACCAACCAGCTTCTGAAAGTAATTCCCCGTAGCAACAACACTTCCTCTGTTACCACACTGCTGTTAGAAGGGAACCTGCTCTCTCTGAATGAGGCTGACAGAGGAGCCCTGGCTAGTTATCCCAAACTCAAAGTACTCCGCTTGGATGGAAACCTGGTGGGCAGTATACCAGCCAAGTACTTCTACGTAGTACCACTACTCAGAGTGCTGTCTCTGTCCAGGAACAACATCAGCAGGTAAAAGGCTGATACAGAATGTGTACTGATACCATTGCTACTGCTACAATAATTCCTGCATTCACAAATGATCTGACTACCCGGGTCTTCCTTCAGCCTGGACCCAGAGGCGTTATCCGGCCTGGATGTTCTGACCGAGCTGGACCTGTCCCACAACCTGCTGACAAGTCTTCCTACACAGCAGATCCAGCTGAAAAATATACAGGTAAACACCCTCCAAAATCCACAGGATTCCACGAAATGTGAAAGGCTTCTAGTATTTATTAGGACAATGTAAAAAAAGGGGTTGCTACGTCTTATCAGGTTAAAAATGGAAACATGTTTAGGCATCTTGTGTTTACTTAGCGTTCCGGTCTAATTCTTAAATATTTTAAATACAACCTTGTGAAAAAAATGTATAGGAGTTCATTTGATCCTTATATCAAATATGTCGTTATCAGTGGACCAAAATAGTTTTTACACAAAAGGAAATAAATCGTGTGAACCAAGCAATCTTGTTTTTTTATTTCAAGTTATTATTAATCCGATAACCACACCCAGTCTTGTTTCATTAGGTGCTGAACCTACAGGATAACCCCTGGAATTGTTCCTGTCCCCTGCTGAGCGGCTTTGAAAAGTTCAAAGCAGGTAATAATTGTAATTTCTGCAATGTAATGGTTTGATGAGGTGACACTCATGCAGACTGGATCTGAATATTTATATTTACAGCCTGATCTGATCTGAGAACACTGATTTCCTTGATGCAACCTAGTAACAGCTGTTTTACACAAGAGTAATCCGGGTGCTTATTCGGACATGAATAATTCCCGTCAGATCGATGGAAAGAAGAACATGCTCGTTCATTTTTGAACGATCAAAAATGTGATGTCTTTTGTTCTACAGGGGGACAACAAGTCACCTGTGCTTCTCCAGAAAAGCAGGCTGGGAGAGACCTCTGGGAGGCTGCAAGCATGTGTTTACCATCAACACCCCCCATCTTCACTACAACCCTAAGCAAACCAGTCAACTCTCAACAGCCTTCTGGCTCATCAACCATGCTGAAAACCACACAAAGCCAGAAGCACATCGACAAAGGTAGGACAAAGGTGAAGTGGGTATTTGACCCTGTGTTCTTCCTTCTAACTTTTTAAAGAACGGTCTCTCTATCCCTACAGACCAGAAACCTGTGCTCGGCCACACATGGAAATTCACAGCATGTATCGCAGCCTTGGCACTGTGCACCTCTATGCTCATCGTGTGTGGCGTAAAGGGGCCTTCCTGGTACAAGCTCTTCTATAACTACCGTCACCGGAGACTGCACCAAGAGGAGGATGAGGACGTTGTGTCAACAGTCTTCTCAGGGAGGTACATGAACCATCAGACATTCACCTTCAAGCAAGAGAATGGGCAGCTAGAGGAGGAGGAGGCGGAGGAGGAGGATGAGTATTTTGAGGATCCATACATCAAGAGAGAAGACTGACAGAACCATGAAGGAGCACAGAGCAGCTGGAAAACCAGAAATAGGGCGAGGAAGCAATCATCACAGATTTGTCACTTGTGTAATCTTGAAAACGAGGTGCTCACTGTGGGCTGTTTTATGGTGCGAAAAAAAGAAAATGTCCTCTAGATATGTAGGGTATATATTGCCTTAGTTGGGTAAGCTGTAAAAACATTTAACTCTGTGTGTTCTAAGCACGCTGTTAATATTTTCTATTCTAGGAGTCACTTAAATGTTGTCCTGGCTCTGTGGCTCCTGCTGTTAGATTTGTGTTCCTGGATGACAGACAGATGTAAAATGTGAAGGGCCAACCCATACGTCGACATAAAGAGAGCACAGATGTATTTACTTTATACGACACACCGAGCATGTTTGTATAGCATCAGTGGTGCAAGAGATATTCAAAATCTTTCATAAGTAAAAGCACATAAGTAAATGTATTTAAAGTATCAAAAGTGAAATGATTGACTGTGCAGTAATTAAACTGCTGTCAGTATTTTACTATTATGTTTAATAGCAGTAGTTGTTGTTAAGGTTGTGCTAATTGTAGCTACTTTATATACTACTTAACCACTTTATAAATGTTTGGGTCGTTTAATCTACAGCACTGCATCGTAGAAGATTTAAGATCCTTTTAAAAGAGGCTTTAAAAAAAAAAAAAGGTATCTTAAGAAGTAGGAGGATGTTCTCAATACATATAAAAACACTGAATCCCTTCATTTAAAAAAACAAAACTGTTGCTTACAGTCAAGGTTTACTTCCATCTTGGTTTCTGGGCCTAAAGTTAGCCACCACACTATTGAAGAATGTATTTAGGTTTTTGCAATCCAACATTTACAGGCTTTTTGAAGATACACATCGTTAAAGCTGCACTCAAAACCAATTAGATTACCGTATACTTTATATATTTAGATTTATGCAACATAGCTGGAATCATTATTTAACTGTAAAATACAGCCAACCTTCCTGAGATATCAAATCTATGAATCAATCATTTGAACAAAGTTAATCATGGATGTGAACAATTCATAAATGATAAACTCTTTTATAATACAATGATAGTTTTTTCACGTTTTATTCTATTTTCTATAAATAATAATTTTTTTCTAAGCTAAATATAAGCTTAAAAACATGCTTTCCCAACAACCCAGTGATCTTAAAAACATCATTAGAAGTCCACCGTACTTACTCTCTCCTCTCAGTGAAGATGCTGTCGATGCTTTCAGCCTCGCTGTCATTGTGGGCTTTCAACTGGGATGGTAGAGAGGAGGGAAGAAGAAAGCAAAGAGTAGGCATTCTCATTATATTTACTAAATACTTTTCTCTAACCCAAATCTCTTTCTCTAACCCCATGATCACACCTTTGATTTGATATCATTTTGATGATTTGACATCTTACATGGTGTACTTACAATGTTGTAGTCGTTGATCATTTCCTCCATCTCTGTGTTTGTGTTGAGCTTGTCCACCAGCTGAAATACAATCAGAAAAATACAAACAATTAAGCTACATATCAGTAGGACTCCTCAAGTGTTAAATAAATCTAGCAGAGTCCATTGTAAAGCATTCACACCTACTATTATACCAGACATTTACACTTTTAAAGTACCCTGCTAATATTCAAATGATATGTGTTTGATCTAAATACTTCCTTAACAACAACAGTATGACCAAACATTGTTTTATCATTTAGCTGCTGAGCTTGGAAGGATTTCTCTCCTGCCTCCTATCTGTTGGAGTTTCCATTCTCTCATTCTCTATTTTTACACTCCTAGGCAATTATTAATAAATACAGTTCAAAACATTAAAGTGTAAAGAAAAATCTGATATTGCGTAATACTTAACATGGTTTATTGTCATATCCAGGATAAAGGAACAGGCTATTATTTTCCATAAGTTACTTATTGAAAATGATTATAGAATATGGCTTGTACTACAGCTATGTACCATGTTGTAGTCAGCAAGCTGGCCCTGTAGATCCTTAATCTCCCCAGCCAGGCCTTCAGCTCTGAAGGGGAAATAAAAAAGGGTTCTTATTTTAAATTCATTATACAATTGTTCATTCAAATATTCAAACTTTCCATCGTTTATTCTGTTAGAAGACACACTTTTTCTATGTGAATTGGAAATAAAACAATGTAACCAAACTGTGTTTCAAATTCCTTTGTAAAATAATTTTATTTTTGAATAAAAGTTAGGCTTTTTTTCTCATGTCTGAATAATAAAGGCAGTGGAATGCAGTAAAAAAGGAACAGGTTCTATATTACAAACTGTCCATCATCACTAGTGAAAACACCACTCACTTCTTTTCGTAGGAGAGATAAACTGAATTCTCCTGGTTGTAGTTGTCGATCTCTTTGTGCAGTTTGCTGGTCTCTGTGGTTAACTCGTTGATCTTACTCCTATAGGCACAACAAAAAGTTTCACTTTATAATAAAACCATTTTCCAGTTTGGACCAAAATGATGTTTAAGAAAATGTTGCCCTTACAGAAATAACCTGCTGCACAGTTTAAAGTAATAACAATCAGGGCTTAAAATGTTTTACTAAAAATTCCAGTTGGAACATTTAGTTGGATTTGTTACCTAAGAAGGCCCAAGTAGTAGGACTTATCCAGAATCTGTCTCTGAGGTCCTTTTGGGTGGGAGGAAGGATGTGGTGGAGGGAAGAGAAGTGAGACTTTAAATGTCTGTTTCAACAAGGCTCAAAACGGCTGGTAAATTCCCAAGCCTAAAACAATTAATAAAACAAATGTGCATTTTAAAAAGTGTCAACTGATGCAACATTAGACTTACCTTTCATGCCAGTCTTCATACCACTGAGGCCCTGTTGGGTCACAGGCCTGTCGGTCACTTTGATCTGCGCCGACAGGACTCCAGGGGTGGCAAGGGGGATGCCGCCCCTCATGCCAGGATGACCACTTGTACCTGGAACCATCTGGATTGAAAATGAAATAAGAAAACTCAGCGACTGTATAACTAGCTCATTAGGGCTAGTTAACAAGATTGCAAAAGCTTGTCTGATATGCTGATTTAATAAAATAATGCCTTTGTAATTTGTAAAATATCCAGATCACAAATCAGCAACATACTGATTTTGCACCAACAGCTATGAGTTGCATTTGCTATATAGAGATATATTATAGCAGAAGCTACCAGAATCACTAAAGTGATGTCAAATACAAATATTGACAAAAGACACACAAAATAAAGCTGAAACAAGCTCTCTTACATGAAGCCATACTGTTCAAATGGTACTTATTTTACTTTTTAGAGACATTTCGGCATTGTTCCTTTGCTATAACTAGTTGATACTGTAGGATGGCATGACTATAGCTAAGTATCCAGTATGCTTACAGGAAGGGCACTTTTATCTCCAAGCTCAAATGAATTGGAGCTGCAGTTGACTTACCCCAGTTGTGACACGGATAGCTGTAGGAGGAGGTCGGACGGCTGTTGGGGGTCTTCCAGCCCCAGGGACTGCAGTCCCACTGCGGCTCAAAGGCCTGCCAATGCCAGAGGCAGGTCGCTGACTTGCCATTATGCCTGGAGCTAGCTAGCATTGGACAGTAACAAACAAGTAAGACATTTAATATTGTGTTGGGGGGAGATGGAAACACGTTTACTGAGCCTTGTGCTGCTCCTATACTTCGTGATTGTTATTGTGTTTGCTTAATGTGAGCAGCCAAGAGGACATTAAAGCTTCTTTGTGACTAGAAGTTTGCTGGTTTGAATACTGAAGCAGACATTAACCCAAACCACATTACTGTATCTTCCATCCCTCCCCACTCTGCCCACAACACACATTATCATTTACTTGGCTTAAGCAAGAGTGTTTGGAAATCATGTAAGTAGATGAAGTGTAACAGTTTCGTACAGTGTGAGTTTATGTGCTCCACCCCAGCAATACCTTAGCCTTTAGCTATGTAGACCTACGTTACCCTTATCTGTAAGAACGTAAACTATAGTTCAACTGACTTCGGTCGTTTTGAATTTGATGCATGATAGCCATTTTGTTTACCGAACCATGCACATTGGCCAAACATAACATACTTAAGCGTTAGCTCACTGCAATGGAAAAGCATGGTAAAGCTTACACTCTTTCGTACCTTAAACCTTACTCCTTCTTGGTCGTTTTCGTAAATAGTAAAGGTCAGTATTTTCTTAGTGAGGCGGCTGTTTAGCAAGCTAGTTTACTTAAGAGGATAATGGTTACTTACGTTACCTAGTGTAAACGTTAAAACACAAGCTAGCATTATGCTAGAAAGCCAACAACACCAGATGATGTCGACGTTACCCTGGTAACTGTCTTCTTCTCCTGAAATTAAGCAGAAACCTAGAGAAAATGTGCGCTACCGCCCCCCAGTGTCCAACACCGGAATAGACCCAAACAGTGTTTATTTGCAGGATGTATTGATACAGATCTATAGATAGAACATAGAATCGGAGGGATGAAACCCTCTTTAATGGTCACACATGCAGAGCACACAGCACACACAGTGAAATGTGGCCTCTGCATTTAACCCATCCTAGCAGTAGGAGCAGTGGGCAGCTATTGTACAGCGCCCGGGGAAAAGACATATAGATAGATAGATGTCAAAACATGTCATTTTAATTAGTTAGAATTCATGTGCTTGAACAAGTGCCATTTGCCTAACTCTTGCAACTTGACCTCATTTCAGATGTTTCTGAAAGAAATTAAACGAAACGGCAATTTCGTCTTCTTGTCTGGTTAATGCCAAATAAACTCTGAAAGAACGACTCAAAGTAGTAGATTAGTGGATTATGACAAAAAGTGTGCATTACCCCACTTGCTAATGCTAGGTTTGCCAAGTTAATATGCAGCAACATACAGTATTTTAACTTTTGTTATCACTTCTAAAAGAAAAGCAACAACACTGATAGTTTTAGTTTATTTTTATTTCATGTTCAATAATCACATCACTAATCAACAAGTAATCACAAAAAACACTGTTTTCCAAACCAAAAAATGAAATTCAAATGAATGAAGAAAACAAAAAACACCAAAAAACAATGAGGAGGTTCTGCAAATGACATAGAAAGTCTACCTAACACATCCCATTGTTGTTTTTCAGCATGCTCTGCAGGTACAGCACGTGTTTATTAGCTAGTGTTACTCTTGCATGAGTGCAGTGGCGGTACATGAAGATCTACAACGCTCCTTGGATAGAATACTGAGGAGCATTTATTACACAAGCAAAATCCGGAAACTACAGGTAGTTAACCTTAAGGATGTGTTAGGGTCTTGTGTGTGTCTCTCCTCGGCAGGTTGCTGCTTTTTGAGTGCTATATGTAGCAGCCATTATGTTTGATATGAAGTACTACTAAATCACAGGCCTACACATCTACCGCTACACTTAGTGCCTGCTTCATCAACAATTTCCCTTTGCCCACTGTCATATACTGTACAGTGTCATGTGTTTCAGGTGCTAGGTTCTTTTATCATATGAACCTCTATAGGTCCTGAAAGAGAAGTTAACCAGGTATTCCCAACATTATTCTTATATCTTAAGACAGGGCTTGCGCTTTGTTGCATGGTTTAATAGTGTGTTGGCATAATTGCCCACTGCATATGTAGTAAAAAAAAACTTGTAATAATGGTTGCAAGTACAATGTTTCTAAATCAAGTTGCCATTACAGCGCAATAATGAAAACATCAGATTTAATGCGATTTTTAAAGACTTTGTAAGTTATGTATTGGGGTTCAAATCTTGTTGTGCAAATCCTTGGGGAAACTCAAGAACACAGTTTGTGAAACTGGCTGTCACACATCTTAATTATAATCCCTTCAACCAATGAGAGCACAACCACCACAAGGCTACAGGAACACAACGATAAATACATATACAAAAGTGTTGCGTCTTTAGTACAATATATCTCAAAAGACATTCTTTCACTTCAGTGGCCCCTTTCTAATGAAAAAGGCAGACCTTTTCAATTCATCATACTAATAATCAGAATAATAGTAATTAAAGTCACGATAAAATGCTTCCTCCCCTTATAACCATTACTGGACAAGCTGTTCTAAACAAACCTTAAAAATCTCTACCCTCCAAAACTCCCGGATGCTGTTGCAGTTCTGTCTTATGTTTATTTTTTGGGCCATAAAGAGTGCTTTAGCAATACAATATACAGGTGTGCAATCTCATAAGTAGTGGTAAATTAAAACTGGGGTTATAGCAAAGCTAAAACATGTTTTTGGACAGGCACAAAGAAAATTGTGATTATGCAACATCCGTGGCAAAAGCAAAGCAATTGATCTATTTAATAACCACTGCTCTTTAAGCAACACTCAATCCTCAACTGTCAGTTGTGAACTCCAACATCTGCTTGTGACCTTTTCAGACTAATTAGAATGTTTTGCCCATTTCGTTAACAAAATTGATTGATGACTGGATGTAAATTCAACTGTTTTGCATGAATGTAGTAAAAAGTGAAAAGTAGTAAATAAATAAAGGCATTATAACTATGTTTATTGCTTTATTCATGTCATCACGCACGACATGTTTTCATCGTTAGGCCATTTACTTTCACTAATTCATATAGGGGTATTTTAGGTCGTAATCAAACACCAGCCTTCCATCACAGTGAACCCTCTTTGATATATTAAAGCATTAAGGTGCAATTTAGTTGAGTCAAAAGCTTCTGTACGAATCATTGCTTAAGTGACAATTTGGATAGGAAAACTGTGTTTTTTCCCTAAAGGGCAGTCGAAATGAGCTTTGGTATTGGTATTTAGCACATTTCCCGAATGAGTCAGAAGAATTTGAATGAAGACACATGCAATGTGTCCATAATACAGATAACAAAAAGTCAAACCAAAAGTTTGCATCATCGGTTGTTCTGACTCAAAATCTTTACTTATTATCAGATTAATTAGCTGGCTTGTGAACATAATGTCACTTTTTGCAACTAAAGAGCCATACTTCACTAGGGAGTTAGTGGAGAGGGAATATTGGACTTACATTCACAAAGTTGAAAGAGAAAAGACTCAAAATAAATGCTTATTTTGCTCTGCGTCTATTGGATGTTAAAAAAGAAAAACATATATCATGACATGTATATTTTGTGTTTACAGCTTCTTTGGGCTGCCCCCAAGTTGCCCCCTAAAAATGATGCAAGGTTCAAGAGATTATATGTTGTGTTCAGTAGCAAAAATGTTTCAAAATTCCTGATGATACACAGCCATACACTATACTCAAAACTGAGCATAGTAGTGATGCAGTTATGTCTGACAAGTTTTACCATGACTTTTGTACGTGATACATCGCTGAACTAAAATACTTCTAATATAATCAAAACTGTTTTCATTTATTTTAGTAAGTTGGAGCCATGCAGTCACTGTATACAAATCTGTGGTAGAATTAATGATGAAACAACAACCATCAGAAACTAGCTCTTCCTCTCCATCGCTGTTAAAAATCACAATTTGAGTTACAACACGTCAGCTATCTAAGTTTGCCCCGAGTTATACATATGGTACCAAACCACAACACTTTGAGTCTTAATGCACAAAGGCTTTCATCTCCAGTATAATCTGACCATGCATTATAAAGGCAATCAGTTGAATACATTGCTACAAGAGAAGAGTATAAAGCCACATCATGTTCCACTGCCAATACTCAAAGAAGGAAAGTGCTGAACAGTTATTTGAGATGTTTGTATTCAGCTAGAGTCAAACAACATGCTACCATAACCCTTATAGAAACACCTGATATTGAACAACAACCATTACTACTACCAGGACAGCTTGATTCACAGAACGTCCTTAAAACCAGGTTAGCCGTAACGTTTTATATCAGTTTTGTGAACTATCATCATTTCTTTGTCTAAGCAGTGTTAGGCGTGAGCCTGCATCATCCTCATTTCTTTTCAGGTAAGAAGGACAGGAGGCACATACAAGACACACAGCTCCTTTAACCTCAGAGACATTTAGACATCGTCCTCATGTCCCTCTGGACTGCATGCTTGGTTAAAGCTATACTTTAGCAAACTTTCTCAATTGCAATTCAAAAACGTTCAGGTTTCCACGTGCAAAGCACACCTCAAATGCGTCTTTTCAACCTCCTAGCAACACCTCTTTTCCTACTTTCTCTCTATCCTTAATGTGTGTCTTTGTTTACAAAAACCTGTGCGTGTTTCCGAGATTTTCAGAATGCTATTGAAAAAAAACAACCGGCCACTGTATTGCTTACGCAGGAAGAGACGTACAATAAATAAATATAAACTTGTTTAAAATCAAGAAACTAGAAGGAAAGAAAGACAGAAATAAGATCCGAACAGTACACCAAAGCTCATTTTTACACCATTTTGTCACTCAAACACATCATCACAAACACAGAGAAAAGAGAGTTAGCTACAGCCTAAAATGATTCAAACAGCCTACTTGTTGTCTAGCTTTTATTGTTTATGGTAATGAGAAGAGAGGAAGTGACTAAGCAGATGAGATGAATTACTATGATGTTATTAAAGCAGACAGTAAGGAGAAGCTATGTGTTTGACAGAAGCCAAAAGGTGAGTCCAAGAGGGTTTCCATGCTGCTCAGTTGAAGTAATCGCTACTTATTTGGTGTGTGAGATGATGGAGGGTAAGAGTACACGCCCAGGCTGTGGGGGGGAAAAGGATCTGAGTGACAACCATGGATCCAGTTCAACTTGGAGAACCAAATATTTGAGAAAACGTTATCCTCTTTTCCCTCCACATAGATTCCCACAGAGGCCCAAGTCTTTAAAGTCACTTCAGTCAAATATAGAGGGGCAAGATGATGAGCTCAGATGTGAGAGAGGAGGCATGAGAACATGGAGTTGATACTAAAGCGGCAGAACTATTGTATGATTAAAACATTTGCAATGACATATCTAAGCGTTTTCCAGGATGGGGGAGTGAAAGGAAAAGATCCCTTTAGGAGCTGCTGCTGGACCTCCCCTCGCATCATCATGGAGGGGTCGGGTGGTGGTAGTGGTGTGGAGAATGGGAGGAACCGTGCGGGTTGGGGTCTGTTGTCGTCCGGGGGGGGGGGCCGGCCAGGTGATGATTTCGGCGGCGTGGTCCGTGCGAGAGCGAGCATTCTCGCGGAAGTTGAGCTTGAAAACACTCAATCTGCAGCAGAAAGGTTAGAAAGAAAGTGGTAGAGGAAAGGGGGGAGGAGGTAAGGGAGGGAGGAAGACAAAAAATATAGAGGGTGGTATTGTTGGGGGGGTTGAGATGAGGGGGGCAGAGGGATTGTAGAATTAGATGCCTGCAAGATAAGAAGTCGAAAGATGATGGT